ATCTACTATGTCTAATAAATATATGTTTAATGAATGAATAGATGCATAGTCAATATTTTTCTTATGTCTATGAATGAGTGACGTCCAAAGGCAGATATCAATACTCTCATAGAGACTTATATTTTATTTCCTTGTTCCTTCTTGTTATGAGACCTTCAAAAACAAGAAATTTAAAATGACAAAATTGATTCGTAGCAGCTAAAAAGTATTGTCGACGTAGTCTCACATTTATAAGATCTGAAAATGTTTTCCTTATTAATACTTCTTGAGAAAGGCTTACTGTGTTAGGCAGATTGTCTCATTTGCTAATAAGCTTTCCAAACTCTGGTTCCACTATATTCAAATTCCTCATTTCCCTTCAACTTAGTGACCACCATTAACAGCCCACTCTATTTTTCACTGCCCTTATGTTTTTGCCTCAAGCTTTAACTGATTATATTCTTTGATTTCCTTACCCTGCTGTAGATTCCTTTTTAACTACAGATCTTAAAAGCGACACTAGCTGCTTTTTGTTCCTTCGGGGTTTTTTTTTTTTTTTTTCCTGCGGGATAATTATATTCTGTTGTGCCTTTTATTACCCTGTCTTTTAGGATCTCCTAACCTTGTACGCTCTTGGGCTTTATTTAATAGCGAGCTCCCTCCTCCACTCTCCCACTAAACCATGCTCATTAGGTTGCCTAATCCTCCATAATTTGCTTTCATGAAATCTTATACCTTTGAGTTGCTGTGTTCTATGAGCCCATTTCCTTAGTATTGCCCTTCCAAGCAGCCCAGAATCAATGAGCACTAAACATAAGCTTATTCACTTTCTCAGCCAACATGACTCTACAGAAAAAAAAAAAAAATCCTTGTTTTGAATATTTATGGACCATGAAACTATACCATTTAACTTGGTATTTCATTTTCTCACCCAAACATTGCCTGAGAAGGTTAGGAGCAAAGAATTAGACTCCAGCAGTCCTTAACGTATAGTTATTAATTTACAGGCTTCAGGTTCTTCTGGGTCAGAAAACCATTCTATTTTAACAGAGCAGAAATAACAATATCCTAATGTTACATTGCAACTGGTAAATTCCAACTATATCTTTGCCTTATACCCAAAATTCAGGAGAAGAGAAAAACATCTTTTTTTGGTTACTCTGCAAGAGCTCTGCTTTTCCCAGTGGGTCAGTTTGAAGAAGCGCACGTTCTTGAAATGTGACCACACAGCCAACTCCAGTCTTTTCAGCAGTTCGCCCTCTGCCTTCTCTTCCATTCTACTCGTCACTAGCATCTTTGCTCATGGGTATGGACAGAAAGGCCAAGAGAGCAGATATTTTGTTTTTCGTTTTTCACTTTCTAGGGACTTTGATTGAATTTTTTTAAAAAATCAACTTGGTAGTGAAGGGAAAGAGTTAATGAAGCTTCCAAACTAGCTTATTCAAGCAACGTTTACACTTCAACCCTGTGCATGTTCACTTGTGATCCTGCCCATCCAGATGACAGAAAGCAAAGCCAGTAAGTTCCTTATTTAATTGGTTTGCATCCACACATTGCCCTCCAGGGCTCTGTTTACACAGCCTATCATACAGTATGCTCCACAGTTCTCTGCCTCTTTCAAAAGCATGCTTCTCCTGAGATTTGATATATGGCTTTCATGTTTAATCACTACATTAAACTCAATGCTCTGCTTCCTCCAGCATCAACCAACTTCCCTTCTTGGGAGGCGGGGAGAAGAGCACAGCTTCTCGCTCCTTCTGAACATAAAAGGAAGTCTGTTTTACTCTATTAGTAAAATCACCAACTACGCACGATCGTAGGAAGCAACACGACTACATCAACTGGGAAACAGTATTAAAATAGAAACCTTCAAACTCCTTTAGGAGGGAGGTAGGCTGATGGCTCTCAGTTGGCAAAGCCGAAAGCATTAGGTGATTGAGTTATAAACCAACAGAGATAGAGATTAATCCGTGTATAACTCAGTACAGAGAGGGTACATCGAGACAGCAGCTAAAGTTTTAATCAAATTATCCTTGAGGATAGAACATTCCTGGGGTTCTCAGATGACAATGCATTCAGTACCTCTGCCTTCTGGTTGAAGGTTTTCCTAACCTTCACCACAAAGAGAACTTTGAACATCTCTTTACCTGAACGTGGACATGGTAACGCCACGATCCTTTTCAAACGAATCTGTATGTAACCCAAATTTCTGAAGTAGACAAAAACCTCAAAAAATTACCTGACCTCCTTCAATAAGTCAAGAAAATCTATAATTTTCAGGTTTTAAAAAAACACATGAAATGCCTGTATTTTACTTTATTTCAAGCAGAAAAAGTGAAACAAATATGGCAAATTATGAACAGTAAAATCTAGATAATGGATATGTGGGCATTCATTATACCATACTCTCTACTTCTACACATAGTTGGAATTTTCCTTATGAAAAATGTTTTTGAAACTTGAAAAACACACAAAGAAATTGTTTATGAATTTGCTTTCATAGAGAAAAGAACTGACACAAATTTGATAAGAAAAAATTTAAGTCACGTTCTAGGTGGATCATTTCGGTGTCTACATATTTGACAACTGACCCTTTTCACCATGTGCTGACAATGAAAACTCTCCTCCCCCCAGTCTCACGCCACAGCCTGAAACTCATTTACACAAACTGCAAATGTGCAGTAAGCTCTGTGTAAGTTGGGTTCTTCACTTGAAATATACGTACATATAAAATTTTACTTTGAAATCCTTTCCTTTCTAACTAGTCATTGATCACAGTATTTATTTTTTAAGAGTTTTTTTTCCTTAGTAAGACAGGCATCTTCCTTCATTTGAAACTCTTACTTTGTCAGGAACACAGTGACAGCCGTATACAACATTAAACAGAGCTAGTTTACTTTCTGTACTTGATGAACAATAGAAAACCTGAACCCATTAAAGTCATACATTTAATTGTTCCAATATGCTAAGTTATTTCAAAATTTGCATGATACAGAACGCCAAAGAGTATATTTCTAGCTTCCTTTGTCGTGATTCCCTCACTCAAGAGGAAGCTAAAAGAAGTTATAAGAAAAAATAATTACCTGTTTCTTAATATGAAACCATCTGAATTCTTTCCACAACATATTTAAGTTCAAAATTAAAAGACTAAATAAACTTTTAACCAGTACTCCCCATAAGAGTTTCGAGAGGACAGAACTCCCCAGTTTTCAAAGACAGGCAGATGGTGTCCATGACAGACATTAAAAAAAAATTAGGACTTGGAAAAAATAAGAAACATGGACAAAATCTTTGGTCACAAGAGTGAAAGATGTATGCCGGTACAGATGTTATAACTATTTTCATGATAAATACTAACCCACACTACAGGAATTTAGCAGCACACTTTAATTTGGATTTGAAAATTTAACATAAATTTTCTGACTTTGACAATAGCTGCCTAATATTTCAGTTCTATACACTACTTCCAGGTTTTACCTTCAAAATGAATCTAATAGACTTTTTCATTTTAAAAAGCTGTATTCCAGATCTGTCGCCTAAAACCAGTTTCTGATTTGATGTTTTGGCAAGTAAATCAGATCATAACAAAGTGGGCTCTTAATAAATATTTGGCGACTGACTGGCAAGGATAAAAAGACATGCAATTTTTGTGTAAAAATTCATTCTCCATCAATTTTATTCGTTTATTTTTATTATACTTATTAAAGATTTTAACTATTAAAAAAAGGCAAAGTATTAAAAAAGACTTTCACCCTATTCTGAGTCACCTCTTACTAATCAACAAAAAAGTCAAATGGTTGATGCAATGTCACCATGTCAAACGGTTGACACAATGTCACCATGCCTTCAGTCTCCACACAGTCAATACTGTTATCCAGGATGCTCATCTTATACTATCACTGTCACACCTGATTCAGAAGCCCAAGAACACACAGAATGGAAAGACTTCTAGAATCACAGTTCTCAAATTAGGCAACATTGTTAACTCAAATTTACGAACTTCATATTTAAAGAGTCTCACCAAGTTGGAGAAATTCATAAAGCTATACAATAAAAGAAAGGTGAAGCTTTTGCAGAAGAAAAGCATGTCGGCTCCTTAATACCACTGTAACAAAGAATGCATAGTCCTTAGTTCTTTCGTGAACATCATAAACAAAAACACTTTTTTTAAGTTAAAAATGTAATGGAGTTCAAAGCAGAGTAAGAATGTTACTTTTAAATTTAAAAGTGATACATTTTTCTGCAAATTATTTTCTCCTGGAATTGAAAATTAATGTTTATTGATCTATTAACAGTTCACCAAAGGGCATAATTCATTTGTACCAAACATGAAGCAAATTTTTGTGCTTTACTTGCAAACACCATCAGAAACTCTGAAGCATATAAATCTCAGCAAGTGACATAAAGACAGAGTCAAACTTAAGGATTACATGGCTACATTCATGCTTAATGAGAAGAAAACAGCTAATGAGGCCGATATGCCACGGTTTGTGAGAATGAGAATTTTGTCTTGATAGATACAAAATAATGGCTTAAGGTGACCTTGATCTTCCGTTACCCCCCCCAACAAAACACATTTTTAAAAAGACTAATAAGTCATACACAAATTTCTATTGGCTAACACTCTTTATACTTGGCTGGGTTAAACGTATCTATTACCCACGTTTGATGACAAGTCACTTGCAGAGAATCTTCACATCACTCAGGATACTTTGTCCACTGAGAGAGTGATATTCTATTTGAGCAATGAGTACACACAACCCCCACCTCTGCCTCTCAAATGAAGCTCTGCAGACATGGAGCATTTAATGCTTATTGCAGAACTATCAAGAATCCCAAAGTGAACGTCTCAAGTTATGAGTCCACGGAGCCAACAGCCCTGCTTTGAGGTGGGGTTCAGGTTCTGAAAAGAGGCTGCCTAGTCTGTTTAAAATCAAAATGGTTCTTGATCTGATGAATTACTCCTCAGAGAATAATGTAAATAAAATATACTCAGAATAACATTATTAATGTAAACATACCTGAACCGGAGTCAAATTTGGTTTCTGACCTGCAAAGGCAAAGAAATTTTTTACAATATAATAGCTGCTTGTTAAAGAACAACTGTTATTTTATGGAGGAAAAAAGAGGCAATACTTATAGATTTCAGTACATTGGTCAACAAGTAAAATAGCCTTTTAAAATGTAAATACATATTTACTTAAATCATTTCAAATGCATGCATTACCTAGGCATGCACATATCCATTGAGATAGCACAGTATGGGAAAGACATTAACGTGTTAGCTTGTTTTTGAGAGAAAGAGGATAAATTATGTAAAAAAAAAAAAAAAGCACCCAATCTCTACAGATCAACTTGTTTCAGTAATATAATAAAGCAATAAAAAACCTCAAATTTAAAATTATCCTCTTTACTTATTATTAAAGATTTTCAATTATTCAACACCAAGTAATTTTTCACTGAGTTCTTCACAGAGTAAATGAACCTAGTAACCCCATACATTTAATAAGAAGGAGAAAAAAAATCTGAGCCCTTGTGGGAACATTATGTTTCAGATATAGGTTAATACTGGTTGTAAATTCAGAAGCCTTTGAAGCTCTCAGTTCGGCTGTGGGAAAACTTCTGTTGGGTAATTACTCTCAAGATGCTGCTGATGTGCTGTCAAGCAGAATTAACCCTGTGACTAGGCCGAGCTACACAAGCTACTATAAGACAGCATTGTCTATATCTAGCTCCCAAACCAATTAGTGGGCATGCTCCAGTCGGATTTATATCACACATTAACAATCAATAGTATATATGCTCACAGCTGCCACAGCAAGATACAAGAACCCACCAGCAGGAGTCCTGTTAAAGGATGTTACATTGACAGAGAAGATTTTTTTCCTGGGGAAATGTAGTTAACTAAGTGGGAAAGGAGATTTCTTTGAAATTATGCCAGGGTACCAAAGCACTTTTAGAAGCGGTGGCTTTTTTAACCTAAATTAGCTTCGGGAGAAGTCATCAAAGGGGCGAGGGGAAGGAGAAGCAAGAAGCAGTTTCCTGTCATAAAAATTCAGCTTCTCAAACATTCCCAAATAAAGTTTCACCTGATGCTTAAACAACGTCAATAATTGTAACAACAGAAGTCAGTATTACAATCCTGTTTATCATAACCATCACTGTAACCCAGGTCCACATTTTCCCAAGACCCAGCCCCACCCAGTCCTCACCTCCATCCTTCTCTTAGATGTCCCTGACTCCTCCTTCAAGGTGCAAACCCACTGTCACTTTGTGTCCTCTCTCCTGTTCTGGAAAGCCTTGTCTTGCACCCTCTTCTTAGTTTCCAGCATCCCTGAGCATAGCTCTGAATGGCACTTGCCACACGCGGTCCTGCTGGTGTCCCTGCACTTCCTCCCCACTCACTATGCCTCATGAACCTCCGAGGCCAGCGCCTACAGAGTGCCTGCGGTTTGTACTCCACAGCTGTCTGTTGAGGGAAACTCCTGCCTCCACCGCATCCTCATTTCCTTCTCACCTGTAGGAGAGGAGTTCTTCCTTCTGTCTAAGGCTCCCTCTACTCGCGTCCTAAAATGCACTCTCTCATCTCCCCTGAAACCGGGCTGGATCAAGTACTCCTTCTCTCTCCCATATCTGGGCCTCCCCAGCTTTCCCCTCCACTTTGCAGAGAAGCACCCCCAAATTCAATAAAAGCCCTCCTTCAAATCCGCACCCTGCTCTTGTTATCCTCTTTCTTCCTGGCTTTACAAACAAGTTCATTGAAATGACAGAGTATATCCTATATTGTGAGTCTTCCTTTCCTGACCGCCCAGCATGTTCACACTGCAGCAGCAGGATCTGTCCTTGCTAAGGGTCATCAGCGGTGTCCTCCTGCTAAATCCCAAAGCCCAGTTACAGCCCCTCTGCCACGAAAGTTCTCTCCAGCCGACCACGAGACCACCTCAGCGTTGCACTGCAACCTCAAATGCCACTTGTACGAAGCTGCATTCATTTTCTTTTCCTTTAAATATAATCCTCCTGCTACATTCCCCATCATTTAAGTTGGAAATCATGACGTTATTCTCGTTTTCTTCTGAACCTCCAATATCTGATTAGTCACCAGGACCTGTTCAATCTACAACCTTCCCCTCCTCGCCATCCTCACTCTTACCTCTTGAGGCCTACCTTTGGCTCAGTAATCTCATAACCAGTATCCCCCTCTCCCTGCCAATCCATCATCTAATCAGCCACCAGATGTTTCCAGAACACTGATCAGATCACATTACCACCACCCCAACAACCGGAGCAGAGTTTTCCAAACTTAGGTCACAAGCTGACCCATTAGTGGATTATCAAATTAATTTAGTGGATTACAACCAGGATTTTTTAAACACTGAAATAGAACGGAAAAAAAGATAGAATGCACTTCATATACTGACGGCATGTGCAGTTTTGTGAAACTTTTAGGAATACGTACATGCATTTGTATTCGTGTGTGCGCGCATGTTCACACATGTGTGTACTGGGCTGTACTGCCCTTACAAGTGAGCCTGAAGCCTCCACTCCAGCCTTCCTCTGGGTGCGCCCTCCTCTCCACCAGGCGAGGGGTCCCCTCTTCTATCTGAAGCTCCCAGCAGCAGGGTCCCCTGCATTCTCTGGCCAACAGCCCACTGGGCCCTTTCTTCAGGGCGGGTTGTGCTGCCCCCCACGGTGGGGGAGGGGGGCCAAAGGCTGTTACTTGAAGGAGGGAGCTTGGACCTGAGGGCAGAAGAAAGGGGACGAGAGGGCAGGGCAAGATGCTCTCCTTACTCTCCCCATTCCTGCTCAGAGAACCCTTAGTTCCAACCCTCCTGGGAGAGTGGGGGGCCGGGAGCAGCTGGGGACGAGAGGGCAGGGCAAGATGCTCTCCTTACTCTCCCCATTCCTGCTCAGAGAACCCTTAGTTCCAACCCTCCTGGGAGAGTGGGGGGCCGGGAGCAGCTGGGGACGAGAGGGTGCCCCCTGGACCAGACTGGTGCGGCTCAATGGCCTTGGAACTCAGTGCCTGGCTGGTGGGGACAGGAAGAGGCGATGGGCAGGAGAGAAAGAGCCACCCCCAGTAAAGAAGAAAAGAGGGGGGGCCACTGGAGGGACGGCTGCAGGGCCCCGTCCCCCCACCCCCCCATGTGGCCCAGTCGCCAGTCCCTGCAGCTCAGTAGGCTGAATGACAGTCTTTCCGTGAAAGACCAAATTAGTTTTAAATTTGCACTATCCTCAGTTATTTGGTATCAATGGTTTTACACACGGCTTTCATTGTTTTTGTTCACAGTACATCTGTCAAGGGTAAGTTGGTATGTCCTTTCTAACGGTTTATTGCCTTGATTTACAACTTTTAAATAATTAGCTATATTGTATCCCCATTTGTCCTCTTGCCCAGGCCCCGCAATTGTTAGGACCAGGCCTGGTATTAAGCCATCACGCAAAAAGGTCTGTCTTACTATGGGTCATAGACAAAAAAGTTGAAAAGCTTAGTGACCTGGCGACATTCGGTGCACAGCGCCGGAGCGAGGGGCCCACCGAGATCCGGTTCTTCAGCGCCGTCTCTAACCCCCCAACCACGCCGTCTCTAACCCCCCAACCACGCCGTCTCTAACCCCCAGCCACGCCGCCTCTAACCCCCCCAGCCACGCCGTCTCTAACCCCCCAACCACGCCATCTCCCTCCCTGTCTCCAAAGCCAGCTATTGCCGTGTTCTTTCACGGCCTGCATCCGTATCCTCAGCTAGAATCCCGTCCCCCACTCACCGCTGGCAAACCTTGACTCAACGGGACTCCCCGCCGTCCCCCGGCCCCCCCGCTGCCCCCTCACCGCCCAGAGCGCCCCGCTCGCCCTCCGCTCCGCGCCGCCCCGCACGGCGAGGCCCACACGGCCATCCCGCACCACGTGGCCGCACGAGGCCCAGCGAGGCGAGGCTGGGTCCCAGCCATCTTCAGATTCCCAACACTGCACGCAGGACCTGGCACTGAAGAGTTATTAAAAACCTGTAGTAGGGATTAACAGGCGAACAAATGACTCTGTACATTAACAGAAAGCCAAAGCAAGACACAGTGATCAAAAACTCCATAAAATGCCTCTTTTGAGATACAAAAAATCGTATCTGAAAACTTGTATTCCTCAGACCATCTTATTTTCTCCAAGGATAGCTGGTCAATGTGTAAAATATACACATAGAGTACAGAGGAAATATCTTCACAAACTAATGAATGACCCTAGCTATCAGTTAAAAATATAAAGGAATATTTTCAGAATTCTCACAGTAATGAAACTTAAAAAAAACACAGCTACTCTATTAATAATTAAAACATAGTAATGAAAGTTAATACTGTCAGTTTGCGGGGCAGGGAAATTGGTCCTATAGTATACATTAATTCGGATTTCTGTCAGATTTTATACACACATCCATACACAGGGACACAAAGGCCTCTTCCATGATACTATGGACGATGAGCATCTCTACTCATAAACTATCTCTAAGAAAGTAAGTAAAATAGAGATGGGAACCAACAAATGGCAAGTGCAGAAAAGGAATTCACATGTAGCAGAGACCACACAAGAAAGGCAAAGAGGGATGTCCATTCACTCAGTCCAAACGCGTTTGCCCTGTGCTCACCTTCAGTTGCATGCTGTGCCAGATGGGAGGGGCACGAAAATGCATCAAGTGAGGTTAAATGGGTGCAAGAGGAACAGATAGAATTGTGTCTCCACGGACACCCATTTCACCCCTTGATTTCATACTCACATCTCAGCTGAAAACTATTCAACTAGTTCCTCTGGGAATCGCCAAAAGATGGTGAACATAGTACAGACTGTTACCGTCTTCCAATACCCATTCTCCCTTTTTATTTTAGAAATAGAATCTCTCAGTTTTAGATGGCTGCCTGGGTAAGACAATTTTTCCACAATATTTCCTACTTCTTTTGTAGCTCATTGTGACCATGTGACTAAATTCTTGCCAAAAGAATGCAAGCAGAAGTAATGTGTATAACATCTGAGTTATGCCTTTAAAGGGAATGACTGCACCCCTCCCCTTCT